GTTATTCAAACTATTGTTTTATTATGTTTTATTTACAAGCTATAGTAAATGCTAAATGCTTAATTTCAATTACCTTGTGTCTTATCTACATAAATTCTCAATCTAATCTGAAAAAACAGATTATGAGATCATTTCTCATAACACCTCCGCTTAAACTTGAAATTGATATGCTTAATTATTCAAAGCAGCACACTGTAATAAGAACATAAATTATAAACCTGTTGAATCATATTAATAATACTTCTAGACTATTCTATCTCTATCCTATTGGATCCTATGTAAACAACCGAAATTCTGAGATTATACCCCAGTAGCAAAAGATCTAAATTCTTTTTCAATATCATACATAATTTTATGACATTCTTTAATCCATTCTTTTAATAACTGCAGCCAACTAAAACCAATAGCACAGGAATAGTCATCAACAGATCAATGCCTTACAGTTTGTAACAAAGACAATTCACCTTCAAAGCTTCAAGAAGGGATAAAGCAAAATATCCCAATAAATGATAACAGAAACAAACATCATTCTGAATTAAATTTAAGAAGCAAGGGGCATGACACAAAAATAACAAAGTCACCAAAGTAGATAAATTCCCTTTAATGCCTCCAACTTGGCCCCCAATGTCCATTTCTCCTCGGCTGGAGATCAAATTCTTCCAAAAACAGTCTAAAGTAATTAACACGACAGGCCAGGATGATAAATTGCAGACTTCCAAAAGACAATGCAGCATCCACAGTTGGGAGGACGCCAAACCCAGAAAGGCCTGGACAAAGATAATGCATGCTTTGCTTCCAGCAACTTTTCCATGCGCAGTTTGCCCTTTTAAACAGTCTTCCCAGTTGCATCCCATGAAGGGGATCAGGCCCCTTTCCTCTTGTAAGCCATGTTCCTCCCTTCTCCGTTCTTCCCTACATGTCCTAGAATGAAGAGGGGATGGCCCTGGGTCTTCCTCTGAATGCCCAGCTGGACTGTGCCCTTCTCCCGTTTCTTCCACAGCCACCGGATCCACACTCCCACTCCCTGTCAGCTGCTCAATCTCCCCCTCAGAATCAAACTCCAACAAGGGCATGACACAAGGTTTCTCCTTACATAGCATAAATGTAAGATTTTGGGGTTAAGTGTTTAAAATTATTCAGTCAGTGAAGTTCACTCTCTAATTCTCCATTAATCATTACCTTGTATTGGAAAGAAACAAATTCAGAGGAAATCACCTGTGCGCTGATTAACACATCATTCTATGAGTCATTATTTTTGACCAAGAACATTTCCAGAGATGCTCTATTGCAGGGGTGTTAAACATGGCGGCGTCATGTGATATTTCATGACTTTTTTCCCCATTGCTAAATTGAGTGTGGCCAGAGCATGACACATCCGGTCTGCAGGCTGTGAGTTTGACACCCCTACTTTATTGGGACCATGTGATGCTATGATAGCAAGTTAAGAGGCAGATGAGAATTCTCAGTGTAATATTGTACCCTTATGACATCAAGAGAAACTTGAAAGAATTAATTCATCCCCATGTAGAACTATGGCACTAATAGCAGTCCTTATCAGAGAATGGTTGGAAAGAATTCACCCACTGGATGAATCAGGCAGGAGTCATTAGATGATTTATGCCACAGATAGTATTTTGAACTCAGATGCCTTCCATTTATTGCACCAATATAAACACACAATTAGATACCATCTTATTGTGAAACTGACCCCATATTAAAGATTAACTAATGTGCAATATCAACATAAGCAAAATTAATATAAATACAATTTGCAAAACATAGCCTTGCAAAAATATAGCCTTTTTTTCCTGCATTAGCTATATCCCCACCTCCACTGTTATGTTCACATATGGGCACCAGACATGGGAAGGATTTAGGGAGAAAACTGAAACAGGTTCAGAAAAGAGCAGTGAAGATCACAGAATTAGAAACTAAGTTCCATGATATTAGCTCTGTTCTTCAAAGTTACTTAGACATTCAATAAAGCAAAGCTAAATAATTATCTTTATTTCCACTTAAAATAGATTATGCATGTGTGCCACAATAAGAGTTCAGCCTCTTGTATAACTACTACAGTTCAAACCCAGTGCTTGCTCTGGGTATTACATTACTTAACAAAATTTATTTAGTAAAACAAAGCCACCTCTGACTTTTGCAAGTAACAGGAGACAAGGAGAACTTCAAGGGCTAGCTGAACAATATAGAGTCCATGCTTGAATGGAATATAATCTCTTTGCAGAGCTGACCAGCAAATAATATTTTCTAGTAATCAAGATACATAATGAACTTAATGAGTTATATGATGAAGACTCAGATCTAAGGAAGTATCTTCAGTCCATCTAAAGATACATGGAAATGTTAGGCTCAACTAAAACAATGATATACCAATACACCAGGAGAAAATTGAAGTATGATTGAGGACTAAATGTACCACAAATCAAGACAAGAAAACTTAGACACACTGTCCAAATTGTCCTCTAAACTATAAAAATGTCCCATGACAAGACTAATGAAAACCAGCTGTTTAGAATCCAATACTTTTATTTTATAAGAGATGAAAAGGAACACTGTGCAAAGTGTGTGAAGTGTGTAAGGATATCTGGAAAAGTTTCTCCATTCTATAGTTTCTGTTCTATTTGCTGCTACTTCTCTTACTAATTTCTCCACCATAGAGAAATTTTGGAATCAAGGGAATTACAACTTTTGATAACCATCTGATCACTAATTTAAACAACCCTTCTGCTTACATGATCTGGAAAAACTGTGCTAATCAATGCTGTGTCTTTCCAATTAGTTGTGCTGGAACTGAGGAATATATTAACAAAACAACTGTATTCAAGCTTTAATTCAATAAACAGATGCCACTGTGGTGACTGTACCCACTGGGAACAAAATATTTTTGCTCTCATGCTAAACAGCATTAATGCTACACACCTGATCTACTAAAACCAATGAGTAGAAACAAAGTCTTATTTGACCTGAGGTCAACTCCAGATGATTGTACTGCATTGATATAACCATGTATTTTTCTGGGCAATAACATGGAAGTGGTTTCCCACAGTCTTCTTCTGAGAAGTTCTTTCAACTTCACTGTCTAGCTTACATCCCTGGGATTTCTTGTTGGTCTCTCACCCAAATACAATGTCTCCCTCTGCTTAGCTTTTTAGGATCAACCAAGGTCAGCCAGCAATATGAAAAGGAGAGCAGCTACCATAGGTAGAGATGTTTCAGGATTAACTCATACACATGAGTACTAGTTGTGAACAGGGGTGGGATTCTACAGGTTCGCACCTATTCACTAGAACTGGTAGTTAACATTCTAAACAGTTCAGAGAATCAGTTGTTAGAAGAAATTACTGGCCTAATCCTGTCAGGAAGGCAGGAAGGAAACATTCTGGTGTTGCTTACAGAAACTGTCTCTTCGTTAACCCTTATTACATTCTTGGCAGGACTAGACTTCCTGTCTCAGGAATGTCTCTGGAGTTTTTTTTCCCCTCCTTTGCTGGTACTTTGCTTGTGTGGAGTGACATTCAAAGTTACAATGGCAATGAAAAAAGTGACATGACCATTTTTCACACTTACGACTATTGCAGCATCCCCACAGTCATGAGTGGCCAGGTGAGGAGATGGGTGCCTCGATGTGAGTGATTTTGAGTTGGCTAAGCCCAGCCAATAACATGACCATCAAGCCATGCCCACCAACTAAGCCACACCCACAGAACCAGTTGTTAAAAAAATTGAATCCCACCTCTGGTTGTGAACAATACCATGAGATAGTACTGTATGTTATTCCAATGCATTCTACATGGGGCAATCTTTGAAGAATATCTGGAAGCTGCAGCAGGTGCTGAATATGGCAGTATTGGGGCTCATCTGAGGTTACATTTATAATACCAGGGGTGGGCTGATGGGGAGTCGCAGGGGTTCAGGAGAGCCCTAGCTAAGATTCTGTGCAGTTTTGAGAACCCCCAAATCCCACTCCTGGCTAAGGTAGAGCACACATTCCCACCCTATTTCCAATGCACAAGCATCACATACACCAACACAACGCAAAGGGAGAGTGAAACCCAGGCAGATGTAACATGAAAATATACACAGAAAACAAACAATCCTCTCTTTGGGCCTCTGCTAGTTAAAAGGGTTGGAAACAATTCCAGAATCTTGGCACACGATCCTTATGCCGCTTCTCTTTAAGCAGGAAAAGGCCCATTTGATAGAGCCATGCACCTAGGAAACACATTTCCCTCTCAACTCAAAATTTCTACCTCAATTTCTTCTAAAGAACTGTGGAAGCTGATTTGCAGTATAGAATGGCTTCAAGTCAGAAAAGGAATTATTGAGTTGCTAAATAAAATAATCTTTTAATACTAAAATTATATTATTTATTTGTTTGTTTGTTTTAGGGAATTTATATTTCCACCTATTTAGACTCGGTAACTCAAGGCAGCTTACAGGAATATAAATATCTCATATATAATAAATTAATAAAATAATAACACCACCCACCCCAGTGATAATGCATCACACCAGCCATTTAATGGGCTCCATTCCACTCTGTGTTCCCCAGGGCTGCTGGTAGAACCAGGTCTTCAGTTGTCTTCCTTTGTAATTTTTTTATTATCATCCCACTTTTATAATTTTTGTAAATAATTCAAGGTGGCAAACACTCACAATACCACTTCCTTCAATTTTCCTCACAACAACCCTGTGAGGCAGAGTTGGGCTAAAGAAAACGACTGGGCCAAGATCATCCAGCTGGCTTTCATGCCTAAGGAGGGACTAGACCTCACAGGCTCCTCGCTTCTAGCCTGGTACCTTAACCACTAGACCGAACTATATCATTTCTCATATTTTCAATCTAGTCTGCTCATAATGCCACATTTCCTGGCTTCATTCATTCAGCAGTTTTATTGGCGCAACATGTCTTGTACCATTAATTCAAGGAACTGACACAGGATCCTGAAATCAAAAGTCAGGTATATGTTTGAGATACTACTTACCTTGTGGCTTGTAGTTTGAAGCTGGCCACAGAGAATACTTAACTGGATCGTTTCCATTTACTCCTTGAACCACTTCATTGCAGATGCTTGGCTTGTACAGCTGAATTGTACTGTTTAAAGAGCAGGTTGGAGTGACTAAGATCTTTGGACATCTACTGCCACCTGTAAATAGAAAAAGCCGATGTAAACATGGCTGAATATAAAGACCATCTTCTTGATACATTGCACAAACCAAATGTGCAACTAGGTAAGTGTGTTTTCTATTCAGGGATGTCCATAACAAAGTATTCATCCGCCTCCTCATTATCAGTGCAATTCTCCCTTGCATAAACATTCTGCAACAAGCAAAAATACAGAACTACCAGCAGAAGTAAGTTTAACCACTTATGAATTTATTACACTAATCAAGATTACTACAGTTAACAGGTATGCCTCCAAATTCCAGTAATCAATATTATTTTGATGCAATGTAAAAAAAAAAACCCACCCAATTTTCATTTTGTCCTAAATATCTAAATGCATAACTAAAAGTCACCAATTCCAATTTTAATTGCTTATATCCTAAACATTCACTTCCTTCCATCTCAGCTCCAAAACCACACATAACAACTTGCAAAGGTTTCAGACAGCAAGCCAAGGATCCATTACCTTAGTTCAGCCAAGGGGATATTGTATATTTGGCTGGGTTAACATTATTAAGGAAGAGGACTTAATTTTTTAAAAAAAAAAATCCAAATGACTGCCAGTTAAGGAAAAAAACAAAACACAAATACAGCTGTGAAAGCAGAGATGAGACTTGCCATGTGACGCTCTGGGACTACAGCTGCAGAATTTGGCTAATGAGAGTCACAAAAGGCCAGGGCAGTGTGTACCTCATATTTCCTAGCAGCAACATAAAAAAAATGTGTCATGTCAATGACTACGACTTAATAATAAAAACTGAAGAGGCAGCAGGCAGATTATGAAATGTTAGTCATATTGAAATTGGGACCTCAAAATGTAAGAAAGTTATCCACAAAGGAAATATGCTTAAAATGACTAAACTATGCTTAAACTGATAATAGTGACAGGCATGATGTAGAAGGAAGGGGAAGGGAAGGAGATCTATTTTAAATTCCAACCTATACAGAAGGTAGAAGTAGAAATAGATATTTTTCTATTCTGCATCAGTAATGCACTATTTTTCTCTTTGAACACTACCGTGATTTTGTTTTATTATTTTAATAGATATTACCTGATAGACCATTTGCCAGAAAAAAGGCTATATCAGTCCAGCAGATTTATCTTAAGGGAATAATTAACACAAAATGTTTTAAGCACATTTTTGGATCCTCCTTGTTTTCCCTAATTTATGAGTTTGGTGGTGGAATTTTACTCTGATAAAATTAGGAAAAGGAAGGATACTAAATGTTCTGGAAATGAGTAGAAAGGAGACATATTGTGCCTTCTGAGTTCCACTATCTTCAAGGAAAAATAATTAAGCCTTGTGGTACTTTATGGGGAAAACCTTGACACAGCAGTATTGTACCCCAGTATCATTTATGATGAACTTAAGATAATTAATTTATAGGTAATATTATGGGCATTTTAAACTTCCAATATTTGTCAGAGCTGTTACATCCTGTTTCTAAAAATATTAGCTTCCTAGTTCTAGTAATGTGTCTTTACTGTAAAAAGCATTTTCTATATTTACTTAATAGTATGCAAAGTCTTACCAAGAAAGCTCTTCAAATGTATAGATGTGTTAAAGGGAAATTCAATAAAATTTAAAAATTCCCTGAATTTTTTGAACACGAGAATGATGACATTTATAATGAGAAATGCATTGCTAGAGCTTAAAAGAAAAGTTCAGCAGATCATCTAGAATATTCCATTCTGTGACAATCTTCACCAACTTCATTTCATAGTTTAGCCTCAGGCTTATAAAGTGCAGAAGAAAGAGCAGCCTTTCTCCTCCTGTATATTCACACACACAAAAAGTTTCTTTTTTATAGGAACAGCACTTCCTATTCCTAATCTCTTTGGAATTCTTTAGGAAGGGTCCAAAAGTTTTTAATCAAAGTCAGAAAAGATTCCAGCTGTGCCTTGTGAAATCATTAAACATTCTTTTCTACTGTTAATCTCTTTACAATGGAAATAAAAATTATGGTAACTAAATAATAATGTTATATTATTTAGAAAAACATCCCCTCAAACAATCTTATCCAACCCGGAACTAAGTAGAATTCTGACAAACATAAATTAACTATATTTTATGTTTAACCAATACTCCAAGAATTCATACAACTTTTGATTGCTTTATATATATGTGATGCTAAATCAACTTTAATCTGCACATTAATTTACAAATTATTCTGGCCATCATTTTGTATTCTCTCCTCTTTTCCTTGTTATTCCCTGATTTCTTGTCAGAGGGAAATTATGTTTCAGGACTTTTCAGTTTTCTATTCCTCTGATAACTGATGTTGTGGGAAATATTTGCCATTACTTGTTTCTCCAGAATCTTAATATTTCTTAATATTAAGATAAAGCTACTGGATTCTTTTATGCAGAAGATTATGACCTTTATTGTTCCTCCAGTATTATGGATTATTTGTCTTGTCCTTGTCATACCTGGTTCTTTGGGGAGTTTTAGGATGCAACAATGAAAGTCCAGAGAGATTAATTTTGCCAACAATTGATGACTTCATTGTGCTCCAAACTTATAAATTATCATCATCTCTGTTATCATATCAAGAGCTCTACTGTTCATAACATCCAATGCTTTTGCCTAGCCTTTTAAAAATAATAACACCAATATTTTAACCGCACTGTTTTAATATGTATGGTTTTATTGTACACTGTCTAGAGTCACATTTTGTAAGATGGATGGCCATATGATTTATAAATAAAACTAAAACCAGTACAGTATATTGTAAGTGCAAGGTAGACAACGGGAGATTTAAAAAAATCACTTAAGATTACAGATAATTCAATCATAATCAAATTAAAGCAATCAAACAAGAGCACCAAAACTAAGTATTTTTTTAAAATATGACAGTAGCCAAAACTTTCTGCTTGCCAAACAAAGCACGAATTTGGAACAAAGAGGGGAGATAACAACATTCCAAGGGGGATATTTGTGCATTTTTAAATTACCGAAGAGAGAGCAAGATGTGTTTTAAATCAGTTTAAATAATGCACCAAACTATGAAAAGCATGAGGCAAAGAGTATTTGAATTCAGAAGACTGTGGTAAATCCTCTAAACCGAAGCAACCAGCACCAGGTTTCCCCTTACCTAGATCAGATGCCATGGCAATCATGGATTTGATACCACATCGATCTAATGCTGTTGTGTCGACAAAATTCACTTTCGCAATGGCAAGATCATATGATAGGCTTAGATTCTCTCCAGCCCAGCAGACCTAGGAGGAGCTCCACATCCCTGCACTCTGCAAGTTTATAATTCAAAAGCATCATAAGCAAATTGCCTGGCCTCCCCTAAGGGTTCTGCAATGCAGAGAATGCATCACAAAGCACACCAATGAGCTAGAAATTGTGGGAAGGCAGAAAAGGCATCGATTTTGTTTCGGTTAAATAACTGAAAGTGAAAACTAGCTGTTTAAGCTTTCAAACCACTGAAGGAAAATGCAAGGGGAAGCTAAAAGGTTTTCAACAGCTATTACATCTGTTTAAATTCTTCAAACTCTGTATTAAGAAAGAAAGCCAAGCAAGGTTACCTAATAGAATAGGCATTTTTGTAAACGGTTTTAATTTTTTCCTCCCTCTTCCAAAGCTGAGCGCATTCTCAGTGCCACTTCTATTGAGTTTTCACTGAAAGTATTTAACATACAAATCTTGTTCTAAGAGCTTATTTGAGAGGGATAGAAAACTTTAGAGCAGAATGGCACCATGAATGGTGGCTATGCACAAATCATTAAGAATGCTTAATTACGGCATAAACGGTTGTGAAGACTAAAAACTGTTGGCATGTGACAATGGACTGCACTGGATTGGACTGAACATATAGCCATTTCATCATGATAAAATAATTACAAAACAGCCACATTGCCTAGAAACAACTTTTGGAGTTTCTTTTACAAGTTTGATTTTTAAATGTTTTTAGTGTTATGAATTATGTATTTTAACAATTAATAGGGATATGCAGCCTTGGAAGACTGCTTCTCTATCTTGAGGGCCCTCCCTTATAACCCTTCTAAGAATGGAGCTATCTATGCAGTTTGGCCAAAGGGCAATGGAGTCATTAGCCATTATAGAAATATACCATATTTCTTATTTCTACAAATAATTTAAGACAGTGGACATATCTAAGACCTTTTTCTCCTATTTTCTCCACATCACCACCTTGTGAGGGTAATAGGGCTGAAAAAGAGTGACTGGTCCAAAGTTACCCAGCTGGCTTTTGTAGCTAAAGCAAGACTTGAACTCATAATCCCTTGTTTTCTGGCCTGGTGCCTTAACCACTAGACCAAACTGGTTCTCTAACCATATCTACCAAAACCAGAGGTGACTCATGTGCAAGGCCTTGCTGTGAACAGCCCTTTTTCTGAAAGTGAGTAGTTGTATACCTACCAATTCACCAATCCTAAACTTTCATCTCATTTTTTGCAACTCAAAAGAGATTTTTCAATTTTTAAAAAATGCATCTAATGCCATACATAAGAAGCTTCAGAATAAAATATGTAGATGCAAACCATAATCGTCTCTTTAAGTAGGGAACAGCAGAATTCATAAAAGAAACAGTTTTAACAAATAGTTTTGAAGTCTAAGAGCTATAAGTAAACATTGTTGGGTGATTCAGCCCCTTGTGATGTTTCTTTATTGGGATATGCAGCAACAAATGTTTTAGAAGGACTCTAAGGTCTTTCTAAATTGGAAACAAAGGCTGGAGTTCTGTTCAGAGCTACAGTGGTGCAGTGGTTAGACTGCAGTATTGCAGACTAATTCTGCTCATTTCCAGGGGTTTGATCCTGACCAGTTCAACATTGATTCAGTCTTCCATCCTTCCCAAGTTAGTAATATGAGGATCCAGATTGTTGGGGCAATATGCTGATTCTGTAAACTGCTTAGAGAAGGCTGTAAAACACTGTGAAGAGATATATGTCTAAATGCTGTTGCTATTGCTATAACTTATACTTAGAAGGAAACAGTGACTGCAGTA